AATTTTTGTAATAAGTATTATTTTACGTATATTTATTTTGAAAAGTTATATATTAGTACAAATATCTTCAATACGAAAATATAAGTGTTTTTTTTGTTTCTGGCGCTAGATAACCTATGTCATATAAATTCGTCCATACTGCTCGTAGTATATGTTGTGTATATGTAAAGGGTTTTCGAACCCGTAAATAAATAAATAAACAAAATAAATGAGTAAACCATTTTTTTTATCAGTATTTAAAGGAAAGTTTTGTGCTCAGTTATAGAAAAATTGATCAACAGAAACTGAATCAACAGTATAATATTTCGAAATAACGTTGTGCCAATTTTACAATTAATATAATTCTTGAATATAGTTTCCTAGTTTCAGAGGAAAAACTCTCATTTATCGAATCAGTCATATGTCATCGTGTTAAAATACATGAACTGTTATTAACTAATTTGTCAATAACTACGTGGTTTTCGACTTGAGATTGCTTAAAAGTTTTGGGTGTAAACCTACAGGTGGGCAATATTTTAAGGACGTGTTCTATGGTCAAAAATAAGACGAAAATCAAGAGAGAGAAAATTGCGTTTGGGGCTTCGTTAATTAGTTATTAACGTTTAAAAATTTGGCGTTTCTGCCCCTGAAATAGAGCAATCCGACCTGTACCGGCGGGTGTTTTTACCGTACGCGCAGCTGATCGTCGTCGGTCAATGCATGTCGATAACGATGATCAGGATCGTACTTATAATTTGTGGACTTACCTCGGGTGACGAGTGGAGAACGCAAATTATTTTAAATGATGTGCCTCGCATTCAACCTAATTACTCGCTAAATCCACAAGAGCACATCGAAACACGCTCTATGGGATTTTCGAGTCACGAGGGTGAATGCTCTTTTCTTCGCAACAAAAAGAAATATCCACAGGAGTACACATNACACCCTGTATACTCCAAATTAGTTTTGCTGCTCATTTGAAAGTAATTTCGAATTTTTAGGCTTACTTAAGAATTACCTTAACAAATAAATTGTGTAAAGTTTTCATTTCCATTATGATTTAGAATTTTATTTAACACACGGGTAAGAGGATGACTAATGTAGAGAAATAAATACGTATTATATAAAAATCTGTGGGCTAATTTAAATTTTCCATGAGTATGATTTAACGGGCATTGATCAAGCTATACTATAAATTGTCTTCCGCACTTTAAATCAGGTTTACCGGCTTTTATCATCGAGCACCGCCCCAGGTAACTAATTTACGACGCCGCGCCATGCCGATTCGAATAATATAAATTTTGAATATGTAAATCTGTAATTTAGAACAGATCAAGCTGTCACGAGGCAGCTTTGTTTCGCAGTTGCACGCGTTATACAATCAATATGGTTATTTCGCGTATAATCCGTGGAAATATTGTTCCTCTGTGAAGCGTAACGAGAACGTGAATGAAATCATAATATATTACATGGAAAATTGACCGACTTCATTAAAGCCTTGCATCGCCAGATGATACCAACAGCTTTTTGATATTAGATGTATGAATTGAAGCCAATATTTTTATATAAAAAATTGTTCTTACGTCTAAATGAAATTTTAATCTAGTTCGTTTCATAAAAGAATAATTAAAAAATCATAAATCGAAAATTTCATGAAATGGATACGAAAATTATTATAATATAAATGAATCATTAAAATATTGGAACAATATTTGCAGGCTTTATACATTTAATATACATGCAGTATCTTCAATTTAATTATTAAATTACGAATTTGTATGCACGTACAGAAAACTTGAATATTATAGATGTACATATATACATATACATATAAGATTAGTTTAAGCAGTATTAAATTTAGAGAATAAGAAACACCTATAATTGCATTAATTTTAAATAAATTTTGCATAATGATTCGCAATCTGTATAGTAAGTATCCGTCATTACATGCAACAATAGACAATTATATGTATATGTACCACAATGTACAACTTAAAAGAAAAAGTTAATCATGAATAGATATCATCATAGCATTTTATAAAAATAGAATTTCCAGAGATTATGAATGCATAAACCTGCATAAAACATTAAAGCTAAGTGCATGTTGGAGTGTTTAAATGATCCAACGAATCACATTCTGAAATACATACTATATTCTTCCAATGTTCTTGTAAAGAGTAAAGCTTTATCGATTGGATGGTTGCGTCGCCATCTATTGATAATTGGTAAGCAGTCGAAGAGATCGAGTGCCCTGCGAGCATGCATTTCGGTTCTCTTTTCCAAGACACTGCCCGATTGGTCGTCTTTGGTAGAACGCCATACTTGGTACTGTCGTCAAGTTCCGACACGTTTTAGAGATTTACGAGATATTGGAGTTTAGTGAAATTATTTAATAAACAATATGAGAATTATTAAGCGTTTATATAAAAGTGTTTTACTTTTACGATCCTCAAATCCATGAATCCAAAAGTTCTATTAGCACAAATATTTTATTTTCTGTAAAAATCCGTAGTTTAATCATAATGACTGTTGAAGGCGTTGAAGCGCAATAACGCATACCTGGACATTTAAGATAGAAAGTTTTTTAGTTTAATATGTTCATTGTTATAAGTAAGCACGGGTTAAAGATCAACATTTTTTATTACTTTGTGTTTTTTAAGTTTATTTTTATTTATGACCATTTGGGTACCGGTAAGAGTTTTATGACTCTGTTTTTCCGCTAGTGTTGGTCATCGTCTGGTGGCCAGATGTTTTCTGCACTTCGAAACCATCGGAAAATACCCGATTGGAAAGAGACATTTTTTTTCTGACACAAGGCGTCGATTTGCCGGTACTCAGGTCAGGACAATCTTGGTCGTGAAGACGTCGACATCAGAACAGTTTTCGTTCCAAGTAACATTAACATCGACAAATTCCGTCACACTGTACTCAGTTCCAAGTTATCTTATTAAATTCCAAGTTTTCAACCAAGTGTAAAATATTTATTGCTTCAGTATCAAACATTCCGGTATTATTAATTTTTTTAATTACGTAGATCGGAACTAAATACTGTTTTAGACTACGTGCCGTTACAATGACATTATAATTTATGAAAAGTTTATATAAGATACACTTCACAGTGAATGAATTATCCTCCAGCATGTATGTACCATAAAAAAATATGGAAAATATGAATACATATATACCACGGACAACTCTGCAAACAGCATCATCTTTTGGTACATATTCATTATTTCAATCTCACGGTAGATGCGATCCCAAAAAGAACTCGAGCACATGCACGGTACAACAGTCTGATTACGATTAGAAGCTTCAGCTTCAGGTGCATCATATTTATACAGTCCGTTATGAAAATGTTCAAGGTCCAACAGTTCTTTTAAACAGTTATTCGTTTAAAAACTGGCATTTAAAGCCAGAATATGCTCTTCAATTGTTTAATCCAATACAGTAGAATATCGATTATCCGAAAGTCGGTTTTCCAAAACATTGTTTATCCAAATACCGTATTATCCGAATAGAGAATGAATCACTTACATGCAAACGTACGGTTTTCCTCTGGATATTTTCTAACAAGTCTAACAAGTCCTCTGTTCAATTTCTCATTCCATCGTTTAATCAAATATTTTTAGACATAAAATTATGAACAATGGTGACGTTTGGTTCGAATTTAACAAGTATAATGTCATAAGAGAAGATGTATTAAACATAACAACAATATTGCATAGCAATGGGCAAAATATGAAAGAGGCATAGATTTTATAAACGTATGTCTTTGAAGAAATCTACACCGTGGTAGCATCTAAGAATGTTTCACTTTTATGCATATTTAGAGATTGTGTAATGCCTACTCGATTTATGACGTACATCACAAATTGAATCTTTTCAGACCGATCATCCAAAAACTCACTTATTTGAACTCTGAATAAACTTGTCTCCTAATTAGTCTAAATAATCAACGTTCTACTGTATTAGGGTTGTATGAGCCCTTAAATAAGAATCCTGACAAAGCATTTGTTAAAATGCTATTCATATTCATCGCGTACTGTCTTAAGTGCCACTCGGTGGCATCTTATATTAATTTTATTTCTGTTTGTACCAATTATACTTCTTCTTACTTCCTGTCATTGGCTTTTACCAGCTTGCAACAGAATGAAGTTCTCATCTCCTAATCTAGAAACAGCCAGCGTTTATTCCACATCACGTGTGTACTACATAATATACTCCACTATTCTGAAACCTAATTTCTATCAGTATTGAAATTTTAACAGTTATTGTATATTACATTAACAAATTACTGTCTAAAATTCGAGTATTTTTTTAGACTATTAAAGAAGTTAGAGTAGAAGAAGAAGAAAAAGAAGTTATGACATCTTGAATTCTTATGTGGGATGGCGAAATTTTTATTTCATTCATGAACGACTTTAAATGCAATAATGAGAGAATTCTGTAATTTTGTACAATTGTAAAATACATGTTTTAAGATATTTTAAAGTTGAACTAACATCAACTTCAATAATAATAAGTACTAAACAAAAGTAAGACTTATAATCCTTGTAGGCAATATAAACAGTTGCAAGTCACCTACAATTCTATTCAGAAAGTGTCATAACCATAGATTAAAATATTAGAAATTATACTTTAAAAATTCCCTGTGACTTGGAAAAAGACGTCGAACAATCTTATAAACCTTATTTCTCTGTAAATGTCATTTTTCCTAAAAATTTATTGTTTAAAATTAAAGGACACATATTGGACATAGTTTTTGATCATATTTCTTATACTATTACTAGAAACGGCTCATACAATCTCAAACGAGATTATCTCGTCTTGTAAGGTGTTCGAATATTTTCGCGACCGACTGTATATGTATAATATAACACGGGTAACACGGTAACACGGCACACGGCAATGGTGGTGGGACAAGACTGAGAGGGGTGGTTCGTCCCCTGCGATGGGATGGTTCGTTGGGCGACCGCCGTTGGGGCGCTGCAACCCGTAGGACGTCAGTTCGCTATCGCACCGCGACACGGTCGGACCTTATTCCGTACCCGTGACCGTTACGCACTTCGTATAAAGTGCACGCGTGTAATCGTCGAAAAAATTCACGAAGACGCCGGAATAACTCGTGGGAACATCGAATTCAATCCGTTCGCGGATGAGTAAACGGATTGTTAATACGCGTTCGCTCGAGATGAGATGACACTAACGTGACTGGTTGACGAACAGAGTTCCTGGAACATCACCTCGCCCGTGGATGACACGCGAGGAAACTCGTGTATGAGTTATTCGTCACGCGTGGGTCGAGAACGACGTTGCAGACGCACGACGCAGGTTTCCTCAAGATAAGATTGTACGGTGTAGTGTGAAAATTAAACTTGCTTTTAATAGCGCCCAAGTTGGAAATCGTGTGTGCAGTGATCCAAAAGTTGCCATTGCTTGACACCGTGTTGAATGATTTCGATTTCAAAAACAATTACGAAAAGACATCGAGTGGTATAGTATTTTAGACAACGTTTCTTCTGTATGTGCGCATTTTTTGAGTGAGAATCGAAAATTTGAAAAATCAGTTATCTCACACGGCGGTGTGCAAATATCACCTTTAGGTTGTAACGAGATAAGGGATAAGGAATCGAAAGTGCTTTGGATTTTCGATTGAACAGGATGAAGTTTCGCGCCGGGTTGGAATGTTCGCGAAAGAACGTCGAATATGCGAGTTTTGGCCGCGAATTTAATCGACGCACGTATGCGTAAACGTCTCGGGTCTTTGCCGAGGGAGTTTCAATTAAATCTCCCGCGAGGAAGGTCAAGTGCGCCGTGCGAGCGACGTTCGGTGTTCAGTTTTAATTAAATTACCCCGGAGATTCCCATTATATCGCACTTGTGTTCGAAATTAATTAGCGACGGTCGGAGACGACGAGCATCGTGGCAATCATCTACGTGGTGCCAGTGCGAAAACCAAGTGCACGTATAACTTGGAAAGATCGCTGTGCTGCCGCAGAATCGACGTAGTGTTGTTTTCCGGTCGAACGACTCGATTGGTATCGATCGTAACAAAATCATCCGGAATACAATAGAAAAAGAGAACAAGTGTGTCTCGTATGGTTGAATTCGCGTGTGCAGCTTAACGAAGTTAAGGATTTTTCGTTAAACGCTTTTCGCGAGTGACCAATTGCGCGTGTGGATAGTGTGCTGAGCTTCCTTCGACGGGATGAAAACGACTTAGCAACGGCGACAGGTAAGATGATGCCATAAATAGAGATGGTGCTCAAAATCGTTAATCGTGATTTTTCACGGTGATCACAAAATCATGATGACGATCCTGATTATAGCCAATCACGACCGCAATCGCGATATTGTACAGTGAATGAACTTGCTATGATCGCTTTATTAACATTTATTAAAGTAATCGGAAATAGTTTTTTATTTTTAAAATATCCCAAATAATTTCGTGAAATTTACTATTTGTTTTGAAAGATAAAATTATTCACTTATTTATAATTTATTTTAAACTACTAAAGGTGCGTAAGTAGTGGATTTATAAAAAATCAGAAGCAATCCCGAAAATCACGAATTACTCTAAAAAATCACCATCATTGAGAACGAACATTATCGGATCACTAGTCATAAATTGTGATAATAAATGAAACGTTCGTTCTATCACTAGCCATAAATTGTAATAATAAACGAAACATTAGTTCTGTTTAATGTTTTTTTTTATGAATTGTCTATTTATTCGGTTTTATTTTATTATCATATTTCCATTATGAATTGAACTCAAGTTTAATGCTTTATTCATATTACTGCTCACAATCAGATTGCAAGTAGCTGTGAATTACGTTCGTTAATATAATTATTCTGGACGGATAGAGAACTGATTGCAAAATGTCGGCGAACAAACATAACGTCTTATCCATTGAATTTTTGTATTAGGTATTCTTAGCGTTGATTGTTTATATCAACTAGTACTGTAAAATATTTTATCCGGATTGTTGCTCGTAATCGTATTTCGAATACTTTCGAATTTTGTTGGTTAGTATTGGTTAGTCTTAGCAAATAGAATTAAAAACGGATTGCAAGATGTTTGCAAGGAGATCTTTGTTGCAGTGTGGCTAATGCGTACAAGAGCTTTTTGAGAAGTAAGAATCGCACTTGATTTACGTGTAACTTGATACACTTGGAAGTTTGATTCTCGATGTTTGCGGTTTGTTTAAAAAACTTAATTATAAAAGACCTAGTTCGAATATTAATGACCCAGCCCTGTCGTAAAACAATTTACCGTATTTACGCAGCTATTCACTACTACTTAGACGTTAAGCATTCACTCGTTTCTGAGCATTCAACTGAACAAGAAGCATTTCCCAATAGGGAAGAAATCCAAACACAAACGGTCACAATTTGAGTCAGCTCCATAAATATATTATGATCTAAAGTGATTCTCAATACCCGAAACAGAGCCATATATTGTTTAAAAATCATGATAATCAACGTGTGTTAATAATTAAGAAATCAACGTAGTTCTCAAACTAAGGAAATTATGTCTCTCTCTCTCAGCTCTTACACCTCGGTTTCCAAGCTATCGCCAAAGTTGTTCCAGCGATGTACCAGCTGCCGGTTTATTCAACACGGTTCACGTTGCAATTCTTTTATATAAAAGCGTACATCAATTAATCGGTGGCTTCTTTTGTTTATAATTTCATATTTATTGATAGTCAGAATTTGACAGTTTCATGTCGAATTAAATTTATGAGAACATAAATACAAATTGATCAATAGATTATAAATATGAAACAGAGTGTAGTGAATTACTAGACAGAGAAATGTCCTTATGGTCATTAAACTTTTATGCTTCATATTGTAATCTGTTTTAGATAAAACACGTGCGATGTATTTTGGTAGGCAGATATATTAACTTTTTTTTTAAATTGATCGTTCGTATCTTTTTCGAACTTTGGTAACCATTTTTTAAGTTAAGGAGGCTTAAATTAGCGCGAATCGATTAAACAAGTTTAATCTGTAAACAACTCAGAAAACTACCATAATAACCGAGACTATAAAAAGACGGCGAATCAATAGTTCGAAACTATGGAAAAAGTAAAGTACTAACAAAGGAAAGAATATGTACCGTGTATGGAACTTCTAACAACAGAGAATAATCATCTGTTGATCCTTTCCCTTATGAACAATTAATTGTTTTGTCCTTGGTTATTCGAGATTAATATTTGCATTTAAAGATAACATGTATTATACTTTCGATGTTCCGCATATTTTTACACATTATAGGCATACTTTATATTTTCTGAATACACAATGTTCGTGTATGTAAATAAGTAATTAATAATAATCGTCAATAGGGAAGAAACGAATAGGAAACGAAATTAAAAGAATCTTCGATTTTCCAATGATACAATTATTATTTCAATGTTTATTATTCAATGTTTTTTGTCAGATATCAAGATTAATTACGTGTGCATTCGAAACCATTTTTTCAGAACGAAATATAAAAACTAGGTCAGATAATATACAGTTCAGGTAATAAAAATAAAATAAGTAAAAAACAATGCATATTTGCCAGTTGGTACAAAAATCAGGAAACTTTGTCTCCTAATTTTTTACAATCACGAGTGGATTATCAGACAGAAAAAAACACTTTTCAGTTTGAAAACAAACAGGTCGCACGGGCTCCGCGAAAGTAATCTACGATGTGGTCGCACGTGCGAGCCCGTATTCATCATAAAGCCAAGATTAAATTGCGGGACTGAGAAAAGCCCTGGTCTAAACGGCTTCATATTTTAGTCGCACGCGGAAGCGACGATAGCGATCTTCCTAACCAATTCATCGCTTTTACGTGAAGAATAGAACTGGAAGGAAACTGGCGCGAAACCTTTAAAACAGAAATAAATTCGAAAGCGTATCTGCTTATTTTGTGGCATTAATTAAGTTACGCACGTGATTTCCTTACTCGTTAACTTTGTTTTTATAAAAAGATTTATATTTTATATAAGAAAATAGAATAGGCGTAGATTTGCATTATTTTATGTTCAGGGATTTTTTTCAATTATGTACTATCAGTTTTATTTTGCATAATAACCCGCAGTCTAATTATTAATTAGTGTATAGTTTATTGCACGATTTATTGTATAACTTTACTTTTATATATATAAAAACTTTATTTTCAACTTCTTCTATAAGAAACCTTCTAATATTCGGTTATTAAAAGAAGGAAAACTGAATGACGTTTGTACTATCAGTGAAAGTATTAACACCTACGTAAAATAATTGAATTATTATATGCATACGTCAAATGTGTTCATGTGTAATGACTTCAAGGGACTACGGATCAGCTTCGTAAAGTATATCTAAAAATAGTAGCACGTGCTATGTTTTTGATATATTTTGTTAACACCCTAAGTGGTATGTTGTAGGTATACTTTAATTACTTTATAAAGCTGGTCCGAAATCCCTTGAGGCCAGTGTACATTATCCTAAAGTAGCGTGTAGCTAATTAATACTATTCCACCGCGTGTCGCTTTATTAGTAAACAATAAAAAGCTGTAATTAATTAAAGGAAAACCCGTCGACAAACGTTTGGCCGTCGGCGCTGTACCCGTCGGATCGTTCAAGCGTATGACACAGCGCAGTGGAATAAAAATCGGGCTTCTCTTTAGAATGAAAAAAAGAACGGTATCTAGGATCACGGTAATTCATTCACAGCGGAGCTTTGAAAACGTTACAACAGGATATTATTCGCGAGGAAAATACGTTCGTTGACGTTCCGTTAACAAAAGTTCCCGGCTGTTTGCCGATTTTCAAGTCTGATTTAAACACGCAGAAACCTTGCTGAAGAAAGGGGAAACTGTTTCTCTGTTTTTGTGCTACCCATTCTGTAATCGTACACGAGGAATTCGCGCGCATGGAAAAAGCGAGCGAATTATCCGGAACAGTAGGGAATAACCCGGTGTTTATTGTTAGCAGAAAAAGTAAAGTCCATCCCGTCGTACAGAAAAGGATCTTTAAAAACTGTAGGATATTATATCTGTTTATGATCATATTTTAATTATACACGTGTATAATAATTAGAGAGTTTGAAATGCTTTCATTACAATTTCTTGCCGTTTTTGATACTTTCTCTGTAACTTGAAAAAATATGCAAAGAGAGAAACCAATTGCAGTAAATTATCTTCCTTTTACCGGGTATACGTTCAATTATTAAAACTCAATGTATTTTTTTACAATTTTCCTAAATTTGTAAGACGCTTTTTTTGTAAACTAAAAACCTGGGAAACAGCCTCAAATATTTGCAAACATAAGCTAAGCATGAAAAATCAGTCGCGATTCACGGCACACTATCCGTGCATGTAACATCAATTCGATGGTGTAACGAACTGTGCCGGACGTGTCAAGAGGCTTCGATGGTCGAGAGAGAATTACACGAAAAGCGCATTCGGACAACGTGAATGAAAAAAATGTCGCCAGCGTAACGGGTTTGCGACTTTTTTCACCCCCTAGTGCTGGTTCCAGGCATTTCCATAATTTAGGACGAAAAGTTAAATTACCTTAGCGCGGTGCGAGCAAACAGCCAGCATAATTCTGGCAACGCCAGACAAAGAAAAGCTGCGATATACGTAATTAGTGCTTTCGTGGTAATTTCGCATGCTTTTTGCCAGTACGTACGTAAAATTAACCGACGAATGTTGGTTTTTGAGCGGACCGTCGCGTCATATTCCAGATAAATGTGTTAATATTCAAAAGTATCGAAGCAATTACTTTTTTTTATTAAGCGTAGTAATGTATTTGTTTTTATACATACTTCATGAAGCATATTTTCATAGTTCATTTCCTTTTCCTTAAACCGAATTATCAGACAAACAAAAAATAAGTCTCTTTAAAGCTGGTCTTCTACTAACGTTGTATGAGCGTTATATGTATAACACTCTTTTTCCGAGCATCGTACGTTTTTTACCGTTCCCACCACCACCAGTTTTCGATCTTACGAAGAATGTTTACGGCATTGGACGTAGCTTACTCTGCTTCTGTGCTAAGTTTCATAATTTCTGGATTTTCACAAACCTTTCCTGTGAAGAACGTAACTGCCCCGTAACTTTTGAACGGTAGTATACGCGCGTCACGAATTGTCGATTCACAAAGTACGATCTACGGTTACACGTGTACAATGCGCAATGTTTGAGCAAAGATAACGCGGACCCGTTACAATTTCATTCCGCGACCGATACCACAAATTCAGCCACGAAATTGCATAGAAAAGAATTTCTGTGTCATTCGTTTCAAGAGTTTATTTCTAATCTCCGCGAATTCTCGATTCATTATATCTTGTGTTGCGTGCGAATGAAAGCGTTCTGCTTCATTTGTACATTATTATTAATTCATATTATTAAATATAACTCTAAACTGTAAAGCGAAACTGAATATCGCATCTTATTGTGAGAGCTGTTATATTAATAATCGTAGCAGTGATTTAAAATTATTAACCATTTGATTGCTAGACTGTGGATTTGATGGATTAAGCAAATTGAAGATGCAGAAAATATAAACATTGCATGTAGTGTATAATATCATAAAAAGCCAAATGCATATTGCAAATCGTAATGTAAATTTTTATCTCACATACATTTATTTTAATTGATATCATGATATAATTTAAAAATCAGTCTATTGACTAGTTTATTAGAAAATACATTTTTATTTACTGAAGCTTGTTGAACGAACTTTTTATTGATTTATTCTGCACATAGATTAATATTCTCTTATTAGTTGAATTTAACTTAAAATTTTTACGTGTGTTATAAATATGAAATAGATCAATAGCTAAAAAAATTGCCATAAACACGTACAATTGCGCCCAAGATTTCCACCACTGGTTCCTTCCCTCGCGCGCAAGTGGAAAACGATTGCTGTAAGCGGTTCATTCGTCACCCGAAGATAGCGTCGTCCTTGAGATGGATCCGCGGGAGACAACGTCTTGCTTCTTCAGTCACTAACCATTAGCAAAATGACCTAACGTGGCCGAGGGTCGATGTCGTCGGGTGTCCCCTGGGACTACTTCCTGTACGCGACGTGGTCCATTTATTCAAATTCAAATCACATACGATTCGTTCTACACGAAATGCGAGGGAGTTCTTTGTAACGGAGAAGTAAACGTTGTTCGCAGTTTTAATTTCATAGTTTGCTTTTATCTAAGATTATTTTTAAACTGCTGATTTAATCCATTTACAATGATTCGTTTTAAAGTGAACAATGAATCATTGTACATTTTTCCATTAATCCATTCTAGTTTGTTGAAAAATTATCCAGACCTTATTATTCCATTAAATGCGTCCCTTTTTCATTATGTGGTGTATTAGTTTCTTTCGTAACAAAGCAATGTGTTTAAAAGCGTTTCTTCTTTACATCGAACGTCGGTTACTTTGTTCTTCGACTTAATTTATGTTTTAACTATTATTAAGTAGGAGACATTAGCCTTCGTTTGCCCTTGTTATTTTGTACGCTGGAGTAACTTGTATTAAAAACATAATCGCACTACAAGTTCTAAAGTGCAATTCGCGTGAGACAATGTGAAAATAGAGAAAAGAGTTGGAACATGAACTTAGAAATAAAGAAACAGATAGTGGTAACGCATAAAAAGAAGAAAGAATGAAATAGATTTCGCAGACACGGAAAGGAATTCTTTGGTAAAAAAAAAGAATGAGCAGGAGGGTGAGGAGGAGGCGAGCTATCACTCTATCCGTCCCGACTACTTTTGCGAACCTGCACACACAACTCCGGACCGACCCTTCAGACGCACGTTTCCCCGCTAGTTCTCGGCTCCTTTCATCCGGGTTCGCTTTTACTTTATGCACCGGTTGTGCATGGACTTTATATATCGTCGCGCACCGTGTGCCACGAAAACCCGAAATTCCGCTTTGCCACGGGCTCGCGAGACGTTTCGTAGCGAGTATGTTTCGTCCCTCGTATCTCGTGTGTTCCCCTTTTTCTCAGAATCACGCCGCGCCGAGCCGCTCGGTTCATGCGGTTAATAAACTTCTACCTCGCCATCTTTTATTGTCAACCATCTTCTCTTTCGTTCGCTTTACTTTTTAGATATCTGTGCACTTTTCAGATACTTTCCAAGTTTTCGTGGTCTAGATTCTTGAATTTTACTCAAAGGCGTCTGCATATACGTATGTAAATGCTCATGTATGTATGAACATGCTTATGTAGGCACATCTATTTTGGTTTTTGACCCTATAAACAGACAGTTACGCCTCGCCCTTAGAAGCATGCCACGAGTTAACGTTGTTTATATGCATATTTGGCCAAAATTGAATGAGGCATACAATGAAGTGCAAAATTATTGGTTCACTCTACCAAATTGACTGGCCGATAGGATTGAAATTATTTTTGAGAAATTAGGCAACGATTCATTTATTAGATGAGGTATAAAATCAAATTAGGAAAAATTAGAATTAGTAAATCAGAAGTCGATCAAAAACAACAAATGTTAATCTTATTTCATTAGTCACTTTTGTGCTTCTGTAGTTCATTATATAAAAAATGTAAAAAAGAGTAAACTTGTTCCTTTAAAAAAATAAAAGAAATTCTCTAGATTTCAGTCTTTAAATATACTGTCATAAAAATAATTTTACCTTGCATAGTAATCGGCAGTTTGAAAATAATTCCCAGCCATTCAGGTGATTTTCATAAATAAAAAAGATGGACAATTGATTTGTAATGTTCTATAGAACAGACAAAAGGTACAGCCCTCATCTCTGGTACATACATTCATACACTTTGATACCTATAAACGTTGCAGCTGAAGTTGCACCAGGAAAACCATAACAGTATTAATACGACCAACCTTGACAGCTATAGATTTTGATAGCAATCTTGCCATGTATTAACCTAAATCTTGTTTCCAAGTACGTAAACCTGGCTCAAACTAATGCTGGATCTTATTATTAACTAAGTTTACTTTCCTAAACAATAGGATGGTTTAGAAACTTACAAACTTTCCGGGAGTCTACAGTCTGTACGTAGCGTTGAAGGGACATGAGTTAATACGTGTACAAGATGCTCCGTGAAACTCATTAACACAATTTTAATAATCTGATTAGGACTTGTATAATAATTAGATTGCAATTTTTTATGTAAAATGAAACATATGTGATGTCAGTTTGAAAAGTGAAAATCTTCCTAAGAATATGTATTTCACTTTCGGTATATTAATTATATTTAATAGAAATGTAATAAATTGTTTTAAGGTTGTATGAGCCATAAGATCTCTGCCAATTTAAGAAATGTGATGAAATGCTATGCCTAATATTTGAAGCGTTTTAGGAAAAGTTACATTTACAGGCGTATTTAAATAAATAAAATAAATAAAATTATTCGACGTGCTTTCTTAAGTCACAGGGAATTTTTAACGTACATATAATTTCTAATAT